CCCCTTTTCACATCAATGAAACAATGGGTTTCGTTTTATAACACGCGTTAAATTTTGTTTCCAAGAGAGTGATAAACATGGGGTTGAGCCCGTTGAGTGTTAATCACTACCGATCACCAAATGAGCTATAGCCTAGTAGCCAATGATCATTACGGGACTTTATTTTTCTTCTCTTTTCTAAGTTTTCTTTTATTGGTTATGATTTAGAGATGATGAAGTTATAAAAGAGTGGTCTGCTAATATCCGGGAGGTGGAGTCAGTGAAGCGATCAATGGAGTCGTGTGTGTGTGTCCCACCCGGATTCCGGTTCCACCCGACAGATGAGGAGCTTGTTGGGTACTACCTGAGGAAGAAAGTTGCATCGAACAAGATCGATCTCGACGTTATCAGAGACATTGATCTCTACAGGACCGAACCATGGGATCTTCAAGGTATACTATTACTCATCTTATTTTAGGGTTTCTGTAAACTAAGTTCTTCACTCTGGGGGTTAAGATGCAAGCTAGGGTTTCTCATTTGCATGAGAACTTAATTTTAAGTTTTTAAGCCTAAACTGTGTATATGTATGTCTTATTTTTATATAAGATGCGAGTGTTATTGGTGATGAGCAGAGAGGTGCCGGATCGGGAACGAGGAGCAAAACGAGTGGTATTTCTTCAGCCACAAGGATAAGAAGTATCCAACGGGGACGAGAACCAATAGAGCGACCATGGCGGGTTTTTGGAAAGCAACCGGGAGAGACAAGGCGGTTTATGATAAATCAAAGCTGATTGGCATGAGAAAGACTCTGGTTTTCTACAAAGGAAGAGCTCCAACTGGTCAGAAAACTGATTGGATCATGCATGAATACAGGCTTGAATCCCTCGACAACGGACCCCCACAGGCAAGCATATATATATATGGTCGTCCAACATTCTAAGTAGCTTTGAGTAGCTTTGTTGACCCAACTCAGTCCAAAGAAAGGGTTAGGCTTCCATTACTATCAGTCACCAAAGAAAAGACAGGATGATTAGTTAAATGTCAAACATTTATGATCATTTCTAGAACAATGAGTCCCACCATCCTAAGTCAAAATTTAACATGCATGCTTACTTCTTTCTATTCCTTTTCTGGCACATGATCTTTTTCATGTTTCTTCTGTGTTCATCAGTTTTTTCAAAGATGAAATTATTAACTTTGATTTCTTTTTTCAGGAGGAGGGATGGGTGGTTTGTCGAGCGTTCAAGAAGAGAACCGGTACTACTGGTCAAAACAAGACCATCGAACAGTGGGACTCGATCTACTTCTGCGATGAAGCGAGTGGCATCAGCACCGTTGTCGATCCGATCGATCACATTTCAAGGCAGCAAATCCAGAAATTCGTACCTCCAAATATGTTGTGTAAGCACGAGATAGATGCGGATCACTTGAACTTCGTCCGCTATGATCAGTTCGTCCAGCTTCCTCAGCTGGAGAGCCCTTCTCTGTCACTGATAAAGAGGCCGAACTCGATACCTCTAATATCAGAGAATAATAATAATAACTATCATGACAAAGAAGAAGAATGTCAGAAGCAGCAGCAGAAGAAGAACAAATTATTTTGCGACAACTCGAAGAAAGTGACTGACTGGAGAGCCCTCGACAAATTCGTAGCGTCTCAACTGAGCCAAGAGATCAGATACGGTGGTGATGAAGGTGTTTCGAGCTTTGAAGCCAATAATGAAAGTAACTCAGACATGGCATTGCTGTTATTACAGAGTAGTAGTAATGGTGAAGAAGAAGGGAATTACAAGTTGAACGAGTTCTCGAATTCAAGTCCAGATTTTGATATTGGATTCTGCGTATTTGATCAATGAGGATCGCCTAGTATATTATAAACGTTTGATGCGTAAGACGTTTGGTTTTAACTTTTTGTAAAAATATGATTGTGTAATGACTGAAGGAACCCTCTTACATAAATCATCTCTAAACTTAATTTTCCTGGAAACCAAAGCATGATGGGGAAGACAATAGTAAAAACAAAATGAATCTCCATACAAGAAAAATAGTAAAAGCAATATATATCAGACGACACATTGATTGATCTAAATGTGTGGACTTAGTGGGTCCATGGCTTGTCTCGCATGCGCTGGACATGCATGCCTCCACGATTCCATCTTTGCTCACAATATTAGAACACGATGAAACCAACAAAATCATTTCAAAATATATAACCCCTCTGGTAATTTAATCCTTTATTTTTGTAATTTTATTAATAGATTTAAATTGTAATAAAAATTTTTTTTTTTTGAATTTTTAAACAAATAACATCTTATAATTATCGTAAGAAAATTGATCTAACAGTTAGTTATTGTCGTTTAAGTAATGGTATAGCACTGGTACTAATTTTAATTTTCTGATAACATTTGTTGAAGGATGGTGATTTGTGATCGTTTATGGCAGTTAATTTTTTGATTTATAGAGAAAATCACTATTATGATAAATGAATGACTGGAAAAGATGATAATTGTACAACTTAGGCGTAACTCCTTTTCTCTCATCTCTCTCAATTTTAAGTTTTACTGCTATCAATTTCTTTAACCATCGTACCAGTAATTTTTAACCAAGTTAAAAGGGAATCAAAACACTGTACCTAAGGTTGTGCATCAGTAATATTAGAAAAGTAAATGATGTCAAATTAAGGTAAAAGGGAAAAAAATCCTGGTTTTCAGTATACTGGAGGGAGTAAAACCAACCACCAATTTTCAATCACTTCACAAAACTCGGATCTCTTCTTCCGGTTCGTATTGACCCATTAACCCGACTCAATAATACCCGCGCGGATGTTCTGTTGAAGTAGTGCACCTCGAAGACTTCCCAAAAAAAAAAATAAGGGTAAACTACATAAATGATCACTAATTGAGGGTTGGTCTCAAAATTACCACTATTTTTAAATTCCCGTCAATATGATCACATAACTATCTAAATAATTTCAATATAGCCACTTGGATAGAAGGGTTTACGTAGCAGTTAATAAAATTGATATAATTAGGATATAGGTCCTTGTAAAGTTAGGTATTTGCGACAATAGTACCCTGCTATATTTTATTCAATTTTGGTCACTACTTGTATATGATTTGTTTTCTTGAATTTTCATTTAATGCAATTTGATCGCGATTCTGTTTTAATTGTCTAATGCCTTAATTTGAGCATTAACTTTAAAATTTTTTATTCTAGTAATGTATTAAATTTATAGATTAAATCCCCTATACTTTAAAATTAATCATTGAGTCAATTCTCACACTGTTATCAAGATAATACATATGTTATATAACTGGCTCAGGTTTAAGCAGAAAAATAAAACGAAAATAACTTACTTGAACAAGTTATATAACATATGTATTATCTCAATAACAAGTGTGAAAATTAGTTTAGTGGTTAAGGCATGCGCAGGTTACCCTTGGGTGTCAAAACTCATCATTTATTTTCACTTCAATTTAAAAGATGACACATGCCACCTTTCTATTGGATTGAAAATTTATTAAATTAGTTACATTAAAAATTAAAAAAATCCTCTAATTAGATTGTGACAAAGAATTCTTTGATTTGCAAAGTAGGGTCCTAGCGCTGCAAATACGTAACTTATAAGGATCCATGCCCTAATTATATTAATTTTATTAACTGCGACGAATACACTTTTGTTAAATATTAACACAAGTGGCTATATTAAAACCATTTAAACAGTTTTTTCTTTGGGTTTATATTTGAGAAGAGTTTTTTTTTTCAAATAATTTTAGGATTTATATTTTCTTTAATTGGTTTGAGTTTAAAATTAATTGAGTTTAAAAATATTAATGGGTTTAAGGTTAAAATTTATTAAGTTTTAATATTTCAAATGGGTCTAGAGAACACCAATGAACATAAACGAACGAGCATAAACAAACGAACATAAACGAACAAATTATCGAACGAATGAGTCTTTTGTTCGTGCTCATTCATTTAATTAAACGAACATAAAAAATTGTTATCGTCCGTTCGTTTAATAAATAAATGAACTTCCTGCCGAACGATTCGTTAAACGTTCGGTGAGTGACCAAAACGTAACTTCATATAATTTAAAAAAAATAATTGAGCGACTAAAATAAGAGCGCATGAATAGTTGGATGCTAAATATGTTCTAGTTATACCAAATGATACGAATCAGTGTTCCAGTTATTACAATGGGATCGACAGGTGAGCGCTCTTTCTGTATGTAAAAAAAATTATTGAAGAACATGGCTGCCCTTGTTCATGTTTCAATCTAGACCCTTCTTCCAAGAAGATCTACGAACTCACTCTACAATCTACATCAGGCTTCTCTATCTAACAACAGTATCAACATTAATTTGCAATGAAACAAGATCAGTTGTGTTGTCTGTTTTTTCTTTCTTTCTATTTTTCAACCCCTCAAATATTGGATATTTTCTTCCACTCAAAGTAAGCACATGTGACCTTAATAACAAAATTATTAGTAAAATTTACCATCTTTAAGATGTTGTAATTGATAACTTGGAGGCTTCAAAGGTTCTAAGGCACCAAATAATTAAAGGAACTCTATCTTTTACCGTTGTTAAGTCCGTTCTATGAAATCATTAGGTTTATTTTACTATCTTCTTCCTGCTAAACCAGCAAAAAGAATATTTTGCAGTATGGTCACCTAAACCAGTAACCAATGCGACAAGACTTTGTTGGAGAACCTTTTAAACTCCACAAAATCAACTCCGTGGAGTCCATGTTTCAAGTACATCTTTTGATTCAGATAAAAATTAACAAAACCTGGAGAGGCTGGAGTTTCCCATGAATCTTTTCATTGCTTTTAAGGACACTCCCAACAGCACATGGAATGGAATACGTGCCATTTGAGAGAGAAAAGAAACTTGCTTATACATGCATATAATATACAAATATGAAGAATCAAAACAAGAAAATGTCAAAAAGTTGATGTCATGCATAAGGGTCCTGCTTATATGTAATGTATATAACATGATTGCAATGAAGCATCTTCATCCGATCATGGCCGTTAGAGATCGAAAATCGACTTCTTCGCAAGGAATCGTAAGGCCCGAGTGGTGGCAGAACCCGAACTCCTCTTCAGCTCTTGGAAGCAAGTTTTGGAACTCAGGGTGAGCCAACCATGATAAGGGGATTATGTATCTGCTCCTGTTTTCTCCGACATAGACAACGAAGTGGCCTTTAGGTACATCATCGTAACCATGTTTCTTACCGAAACTCGAGCACTTTTTGACAATCTGTTTGATGGTTGGTTTCTTGAGAGCCATGGATCGCTTTTGGAGGAAGAAAGGTTAAGGAGGTGGTGGAGGGAAGGGTATTTATATGGTGGAAATTTTTGAGCTGAGAAAAAGTAATTTCATGTGGTATGTGGGAGAAATGAAGAGATGAATAGGGTTGAACTTGTAATGGAGATGAGATGGGTGCACCTTTGTTGGCTGTCCTAAAGACAAAGATGGGTCCATTTTCTTCTCAAGTTTTCCACCAGTTGTCTGTTGTGTTGTGTCTAAAAGCGAAACACTCTCGAGTTTTGACACGTTTAAGATACAATTTCAACTTCTCCGTGATTGGCTTAATCTTCTATAAACATTTTTCTTTTGACTAATTAGTTTCTATAAACTGATAGATGTAAATGAAGAAGAACCAAATAAATCCACCAATAAAAGTGCTTTCATTTCTCTAGCTTGTGTCGCACCGGTATTGCGCCCTAATTTAGTATTGTTTTCTCTGGATGCTCATTAGTTTATATAACATTTTGTAGTAATCTTAATGAATTTTAAGATAAATTACAACAAATTTTTATAACACCTTGCGAGGGTCATCACAATTTTATATAATAGCACATTATAAAATTACGTTAAAATTTGTGAGAAAGGGGCCATCAATGACTAAAATCTGATATATTATTATGCTTCTCATGCAACTGCATCATAACCAGCTTAGATAGCAGCTATGACTTCAAGCTTACTCAATCTCTTAACTTCCTATAACAACATTCATAACAGAATTCAAAACAATCATAACAACTCACACTAACTCACACCACACTCAATGCACACATTAGCAGTGCATGTTCTAGAATGCACTGCATATTCTAGAATGCATATTCCAATATTCTCCTTACTCTTTTCCTTCTTCTTGAGCAAATGAGAAAACGAACACTTGGATCGGAAGTGCCGATGCTTCCTTCCGTTCGACTTGAATCGGAAGTGCCGATGCTTCCTTCCGTTCAACTTGAATCGGAAGTGCCGATGCTTCCTTTCGTTCGATTTGAATCGTCGGTGCACCTTGAAGGCTGAACGTGCTCGACACGCACATGAATCCTCATCATGATACTCCTGTTTCCCACCTGCTTGTTGACTTCAACACCGATGACGCGTTTCGTGACATTCCAAACCCGACCAGTGCGGCCGTGGTAGAACTTATGGGGCATACCCTTATGAACGGTGCCGTTTCCCTTGACGTCGACATAGTTGCCGATCTTGTAAGTCTTGAGATAAGTGGACAAGGGAATGCAATCCTTCTTTCTGAAGGTCTGGAGAATGAATCCTTTGTTCGAGAGCGGACACCATGACCGGTTGGCATTTCCATGAAGTAGAAGGAACCTCTTTCATCTAAAAGAAACTCAATAGTTCCTACACCAATGTAACCAATAGAAGCTGCAGCAGCAACTGCTGCATCACCCATGGCCTTCCGTAACTCTGGTGTCAATGCTGGAGAATGTGCCTCTTCTAGAAGATTTTGATTCCGTCTCCGGATGTTGTAATCACGCTAACCCAAGTGAACAACATTACCATATTTATCTGCGAGAACCTGGAACTCAATATGCCTTGGATTCTGAATGTACTTCTCCAAATAAATTCCATCATTTCCAAATGCAGCAGCTTCACTTTTGGCTTGTTGCAATAACTTCACAAACTCATGAGGTTCTTTAGCAAGATGCATCAGAGGAAAATAAGAGGGTTGCAGAAAATTGGTGCAAGCAGCAAAGGAAAGTGACAATCCAATGGAAGAAGCAACAATAGTTGAACTGATTTAGATCTACAAAAAAAATAAAAATAACAGCAGCAGATGAAGAAAAACAAATACGTCAGGATCTTTGACGACTGATACCATGTGAGAAAGGGGCCATCAATGACTAAAATCTGATATATTATTATGCTTCTCATGCAACTACATCATAACCAGCTTATATAGCAGCTATGACTTCAAGCTTATTCAATCTCTTAACTTACTATAACAACATTCATAACAGAATCCAAAACAATCATAACAACTCACACCAACTCACACCACACTCAATGCACACATTAGGAGTGCATGTTCTAGAATGCACTGCATATTCTAGAATGCATATTCCAATAAAATTAGGGATAATAAGATATGATATATATTTTTATATCATACTTTTTTTTAATGAACACAGCACATAAGCGTGCAACATTACAGCCTCTGCATGATTTCCTTCTGGAAAATCAGCTCAACCTCCCTTGGTGGTGTAGTAAAAACCGTGGAACCAATAGGCACCTCTCTCCCAATAGCTGCCAACTTATCCACAAGTTAGTTCGGCTCGTGGCCAATACGCTCCACTCGAACAACCCAGACCCTTGTACGAAGCCCCTGGAAAGCAGAAGTCAAGGCGTGACCCACCAATGCGTCGGAGCTATTATCAAAAATCCATGCTACCTTGCAATTATCAGTTTCAAGTATCACCTACCAGTAGCCTAATCTCCAAGCGTGCAATAAAATATCATGAGCTGCCCAAAGTTTGGCTAACAAAATCGAACACCGTCCTAACCGTCGCGAGAAACCAACAATTCAACCTCTCTCATGGTTCTGAAATAACACCACCTGTTGTAGCTCTCTGATTATTGGGGTTAACAGCCCCGTTCGCATTGGTTTTGACTCATCCGATAGGAGTCCACCCTACAGTCCCCTGCCCAAACTGTAACCGCTGCGTAGTATGCTCAACACTCGCACGAATAACCTCATCAGCAAACCTATGACCACGACTTAAGAGACTCTCCCTCTCAAAATAATGCAGGTCGAAAACCATACCACATCTATGCTTTCATAGAAACCAACAGAAAACAGCAAAGTGGATCGGCCAATTTACCTCAGTAATACCAAACAGACCTGTTGGGTGAATATTCTCTTCGAGCTACTCCAGCAAAGGCAACGACAAGAAGCCCCCAAGCTTGTTAGCATTCACCACAATTGGTCAAAGGCCAGCCGCAACATTGCATTTAAAGAAGAACATGGTCTATACTCTCCGCTTCTCTGGAACAAATCCCATACAAGTCATCCAATAAGATATGTCGTCTCACCATTTCAACATTATTAAAAAGCCTGTTGTGGAAAACAAGTCAAATGAATGTTTTAATTCGTTGTGGAACCCCAAGCTTCCATAACCAATCCCAACGAATTTGTCTTATCTCATCAACTCTATTATAACAAGCGTTGTAAGTTGATGCCACCGAAAACCGCTGATCCCCTTCCCATCGCCAACCAGGGATATCCCTTCCGAAGTGCGCTCGAAGCGGAGGGATGCAAGCAATCTTCACCACTATTCACTCCGGAAGAACGGGGGAAATCCTATACCAATCTCAAACCCTGGAATCTGTCACCATAGCACTCACTGGGTGGAGTATGGAGGCACAGAACCTTCAAACGAAAAAATTAGTCTCTTCTCATTCTCCACCAAGTGATCAAACCAAAAATCAGTGTCTCTACCATTACGAATATCCCTCGTAATATTCTCCAATAAATCACTCCAGATACTTCGAAGCCAATTCCAAAGTCGTGAACCATATTTATTCGAAAGCGAAAGTGGTACAGGTTCCATCCAATTATACTTTGCCCGCATCACTTGTACCCATAACTTATCCGGCTTTGTATCCAAGTGAAAGCAAGTTTCATCATAAATGCCTTGTTCTAGTGGAATAAATTCTTCAATCCCATTCCACCACTATTCAAAGGCTTTTGCATATCATCCCATTTAATAAGAGATAAGGCATTCTTCGTATCTGTACCACCCCACACAAAATGTCGGTTAATCCGTTCTATTGCCTCACACAGTCCTTTTGGAATCCATATAGATTGCATAACATTCCCCGAAATCCATCACCATAACACTCTATGGGGTGGGGTGTGGAGGCACAGAGCCTTCAAACGAAAGTCTCTTCTCATTCTCCACCCAATGATCAAACCAAAAATCAGTGTCTCTACCATTACGAATATTCCACATAATATTCTCCAAGAAATCACTTCAGATACTTCGAAGTCCATTCTAAAGTCGTGAACCATGTTTATTCGGAAGCGAAAGTGGCACAGGTTCCATCCAATTATACTTCGCCTGCATCACCTGTACCCATAACTTATCCGTCTTTGTAACTAAATGAAAAGAAAGCTTCATCATAAACGCCTTATTCTAGTGGAATAAATTCTTTATTCCCGTTCCACCACTGTCCAAAGGCTTTTGCATATCATCCTATTTAATAAGAGATAAGGCATTCTCCATATCCGTACCACCCACACAAAATGTCGGTTAATCCTTCCATTGCCTCACACAGTCCTTTAGGAATCCACGTAGATTGCATAACATACCCCGAAATTGCCTACAAAACAGCTTTTGCTAAAATGACACGTCTTGCCAAGGTCAACGTCTTCGCTACCCATCTTGAAAGTCGACTATTCATATGGCCGATAAGGTAACCATAATTGGCTTTGGTCACTCTACTATTAAGTAACGACACCCCAAGATACTTGCCTAGATCATTAACCTCTGCAAATCCAAACACCTCTGCAATTGTATTCCTTACCTGGTGCACAATTCTTCGAGAAAAAGATCTGAGTCTTAGGAACACTAATAAAATGACCCGATTCATGACAGAAACCATTAAGCATAGATTTAATAGTTTTCACCTGACTCCACTCCACTTCGGCAAACAAGATGAGGTCATCAGCAAAAAACAGGTGGGACAAACCCGAGCCATTTCTGGAAAAGGCAATCGACTTCCACTGATCCTCTGCAACCCGTTTCTCAATCATTTGGGACAATCGCTCCGTACAAATCACAAAGAAGTAGGTAGATAATGGATCCCCTTGACGGATCCCTCTTGTCAGATTGAAATAATCCGAAATTTCTCCATTCCATAAAATTCTCGTAGAGACTGAACGTACATAGATCATAATAAGATCAATAAAACGACCAGGAATACCCACATCATGAAGAGTCTGCTCAATATAATCCCACTTCAAACAGTCACAC